CACAGACATAATTCAATCCCCAATCTTTTGTTACGCAATAACCGTAAAATTGAGGCGTGTGAAATCGCATTCTTTTGTAACAATTTCGTTCTCGCTTGAAAACGACACTAGTCCAGGTTTTCGTCACCTCACATTCTATCAATATATAAACATGGGCGCTATATAATACGCGCTTCAATGTTCATATACCCGTGCGATTCGATATTTCTCAGCAAAAATATAATTTTGCACTAAAACTTTGCAATTTATTTTAGCTTATGTATGCTTACAATATGCTAGTCTTTCTGCACACTAACAGAGTGTTGTAGGTATAGTCGATCTCATATGACACCAAATTTAAAATAGTTGCGATAATTAAAAAGTTTTCACGAAATCGACAGTAAACATTATTTTGCTCATGGAAGTTTGTTATTGGTAATTTGGGCGTCAGTCGATATTTACAGGTTTTCCCTTTCATGCGCGATTTGCTAAAAAAAAAACACTATTCAAAAACTCAGTCGATCTGGTCATAGGGAAAATGTTAACAACACATATGGGTGCAATTTCAAAATCTTGTGAAATCAATTAGAACATTTAACATTAGAACACCCAACGCGTAATATCATAGTCCAGGTGCAAAAAACAGTTATAAACATCATTAAAATATTAAAAATTAATACACAGTTGTAATTAAAAAGCAAGATATAGACGAACACTACAAAATGTTACTGGACATTTTTAAAAGCGAAGTTAATCGTTACATAAATATATCAAAAATGGATACATTTCAGGTTGTGAGGGCGTCCACATATTTGTTCAATCTATTGTATTGCCTTGTAAAACATCCAGAGATCAGTCGGATTAGCTCCCTTTGTTTTTAAAGACGCAATGTAACTTGATTCGACAGGTATTCAATGAATTGAACCACAAACAAAACTGATTTCCTTTTTTAATTCATCGATGTTTTAAGACATTTACAGAGACATTCTTTCTTGACAATTGGAATTTTCATGCCTGGTGTTTTTTATGGTATTATAGTGGTAGTCAGGGCTGATTTTCATCTTACCCAGATTCGACGAAAGTTCATTTCACAGTAGTTGGTGCTATACCAGCCAAAATGCATCAATTCTTATCGAGTTCCTTATTTAGAACTGAAATATGCTACATCCTCAATGAAATTATACCTAAATTTTAAAATCTTGGATTCCTTATTATAATAATAACTAGTTTCGTAGCAAATATCGTAAGTCTGACCAACAATTGCTTGAATGGCAGGCATAGGGCTTCCACTAAAGGTCTTTTACATACCAACTTTGCACGTACTATTAGTTCTTGTCAAGAGTTTGCTTGAAGCGGAATATTAAAAGGACTCGTAAAAAAGAAGACATAATACCTAAATTTTTGGATTCATTCTTAGAAAGATCGTTTTTAGTTTGTCGTCAAATTAATACATTTACAGACCTTTGTGTTATTTCTTTTGTTCAACTTGTTTCCGATACAACTTTGGTTTGTCGTCAGTTCTAAAAACAAAAGATTGTGTTGATCGCGTGATGGTTGTCCACAGCGCCGTATTACGCCAATTTATTTAAGGTTATTTTTAACTTTCATATTTGTTATCAGTCAGTAACCAGTAATTTATATCTTTACCATACTAAAATACTAACTATACATACACAAATTCAAAAATTAAAAAAAGTAAAATCACACTTCAGGGGGAAAGGAGACACAGAAAACAAATTCTCGTTATCTAGCAGAGGCACACTTGCGACAGTCTAACTGTTCTGCTTCTGTATAATATAACAATATACTATAACATGATAAATAGAATAAAAACGAACAAAATATGTTATTTAAAATAACGTTACGTAAAGGCGACCTGGTATATGCCAAGTAGTCGCCGTTTCAACAAAAGAAAGTCGACTCCAAGCACTTCAAAACTAATGAGATAAATAACTAATATAATTCTCAGAAGTTTCCAAAACATTGTCATATAGTCATCTTAGGCGCATAAAAACCGGAATTGATCGTTCCCATAACGATAAATTGCATTTGAAACCAATCTCTTTGTTTTATCATAGAAACAGACTAACCGCCTATTATGACGAAACACCACTTATTTATAGTTGCAAGATAATGGCCACCATTGTGATATAACAACCCACTAAGTTCAAAAGCCTGTTGTTGAAGACTCGTTCATCATCAACTCGTAATCTGGAATCGTCTTGGGTGTTTATTGTCTGATACGACCGCCATATTGTGGGTTATTTATATACGTATACTTCACAAATAAATCGCTATGCAGTTCATAATATATGGTCTGTTTACGGTTTCAAAATTTTATCAACTGAGTTTATTTTGAATTTACAATTTCATTAAATTTTTTATTGTGAAAATAGTTTGAGACACCCTATGTGCTAATTGTCATCTACCATTTCGTTTGTCATCGGTCTACCAGCCTTAAAAAAGCAAACTCCATAGCTATGTGGAACGTTTTTTCCAACGTTCATAAACTTACGATATTCTATTTTGGAAAGTTTAATTTCAGAGTGTACATAAAATTGTAAATTATTTCGATAATGAGCTACAATGTCTTTTTTACAAAAACTACAAAAATTACCGCACGAGAAATCGCGGCTTCCCCTAAGTAAGATTGTCTTCTCGTTAACTGGAAGTGAAAATATTAAGAGCAGCGTTAGCTTTGGTCAATGTCCTGTGTGTCGTGGTTAGATAATTTGCTACAAAATATTGGTTAGACATCGCGGCTAGCCCTAAGTAAGATTGTCTTCTTTGCGTTTCCCTATGTTACGTTTTCTGATAAGCAGAAAGCGATGACAGACATAAAGCATTGTTACTAAAGAGTTGTTAAATTAAAACTAGTCCGTCGAATTCGACATGGCTATCGAAACACACGTTGGCTTATCGAACACGAATTGGAAGTGGTTTTTTTCTTGTTGATGTTGTTGGGTTACTACTTTGTTTTTTGTTTTTTAATTTTATTTTAAAAGGTAATTTATCGCTTCACTTTTCATCGTTTGATATAGGTAAATATGGAACAATAACCCAACTTGACTTATCTTAACCAAACTAACCTAACTTAAACAGAAAAACAGATCAAAAAAACTTGTTTGTGGGCGATAATTGAATAGTAGCCCCAACTTAACTTATTCTACACCAAGATAAGAAGAATTAAAAAATAAAACAACTAGGATAATAACTGGATAGTTTCGTCATAAAAAGAAACCCTTACGTCACTAAGCCATTGTGACCGAATAAATATTTCAACCGATACCTTCCCCGATTTTATGCGATAAAATATTGCTTTGCAAACTTTTTGAGCATTTTAGGATTTGTCAAGTCTCGCTCCCCACTTCGAGAATAACTAGCTAACAATAAGCTACAAATAACAGATAGTAAGGTGAAAGTATGTTTTATTCAAAAAAACAAGTTGAAAATATACTTGTGAATATTTAAAATAAGGCAGGTCAAATCTGACAAATATTTTAATTTTAATTATCTTTACGCTCCCTCAAAAAAATTATCTACGTCCCCCCCTCTGGGGCGCGACCCACCGTTTGAGAACCACTGCGATAAATCATTTCGTAAGTTAAATTTTATTGCTCGTAAAATCAGGCTTATTTTAGATTTTTATATCAGACAACTCGGTGTGGTCTGAGAGTATTTGAAAGATTTTCATCGTTAAGAAGAATTAGGGAGGGAGTTGTTGTTTTTCTGTTGAGCGATTTAAATTCCAAAACTTATATCAAGAGTTCAAAGATTGAAAGAAAGAATACTTTCTCTTGCGAATGTATTTTTTTTTAAATATAAATAAAGTAAGCCTATGGCAGAGGGGTATAATATAAATAACGTTGATAAAAGCAAGTGGGCGGACAGAGCGAGGTCGGCGAGGTCAACCGGATTGAAATTATAACTGTTAAGATTTTTCAATTCAACATAAAATTAATTATGCAAATAACCTGAGAAATGACTGAATATAACTTTACGCGTTTGTAAGGCCCCATGCACTCGTTCAGAAGCGACGAAGACTCGTAACTGATCGAATTTTCGGGCACTCACTCAGAAGTGAAGTAAAATACCCATCTTACGTGCACTCACTAAAGAGTGAAGAAGACTCCTCTCTGCGCAAATTCACACGCACTCGCTCATAAGTAAAGTAGGCTCATCTCTGAGCAAAATTACACGCACTCGCTCATAAGTAAATAAGACTCATCTCTTAGCAAAGTTATGCGCACTCACTCAGATATGAAGGAGACTCAACTCTGAGCAGCAAAGTTACGCGCAATCACTCAGAACTGGACAAATCTCGTCTCTGAGCAAAGTTACGGTGGACAAATTAGATGCCAAAAGCTACCAAAACTATATAGAATTATAACAAGCCAGAAACTGCCGATTGGTGCGATACTTGGAGCAGTTCAAGTTAACATAACAGGCTTTAGTGATTAGGACGTTTCGGTTCTTGTAATTCCAAGTAAAACAAATTATTTTTGTGTGCCTGTTTACCATCGTGATATCATATTACCCGCCCTCGGATTCGCTTGATTAATTTTTTCGTTATGCTTGAGTTGTTTTTAACATTAGTCATTTTTGTTGTTCGAAGCTGGCCTAGTGTTACGACACAAATATGATAATACTTCAAGATAAACATTTTAGCGAGCGCGATGTCTTTTTTCTGAGTAGCGTTTTCACGCCGTCACTCGGAACAAAGCTCTGGGAAGCGGTTACTGATATACTGATTGAAACGCACTACTTTAGGTCCTAGGGAGCTAATTCTTTGGATATTGAATTGGAAATAAATTCCCGAACCCAAGTTCTGCAGATAGTGTATTGCCAGCGTGGCAAAAAATATTAATTACTGATATTGGTTGTTTGTCATAATAAAATGAGGGCCATATAAATGATTAGTGAATCTAAATTGAACAAATTTCAGATTTATTTAGAATAGTAATATATAGTAGTGGTCTCCGGGTCCGAGTCATTTTGTTAACCAGCTCATTCTTTCACAGTTTCATCGTGTGGCGGAACACTGGTTGGTCCCACCGGAACTTTTACGTCACCAAACTATCCCCACTCTCCGAAACGAGCACCGAATGCAGCGGAAGTACGTACGTCACTATCAAGTAAAGATGAAGATATTATTACGTGTGAATGGAAAATAAAAGTACCTGAAGATTTCGGTATTCAACTCAATTTCGGGGATTTCAACATGGGAGCAGGGCTGGATGAATGCAGCAAAGGAGAATTAGAAGTTTTTTCTGGAATTGATGAGAATAAAACAAGTTTGGGTGAGTTATTAGGACCCTTTGTTCAACTTGGGATTCCTTTGGGATTGTCAATTTAAATTGCTTGTCTGAGGAAGTCTGGCTCTGATTTGGTGAAAATGAATGAAATTAGTGAAAGTGTTTACTTGTAAAGTTGGTTTCATTGAAAACCAATGAGTAAGTAAAGACCTCGTTTTCGTGGTTTTGCGTGTTATTTATCAGATTTCAGCTGTGTTTCCAAAAGTTAGTTGTGAATGCAGTAATTTACTATGCTAAAACTAGATATCAGTCCGTGTTAGCGGCACCTGGTAAAAACTGATGGTTTTTATCATGTAATTCAGTTTGTATGTGCAAAATTTTGAAATAGTAAAGTATAGGAAGAATTTTTCTGGGGTCAAGGGTCGGGGAAACATCCATAGCTTTCTATAAACCTGGGGCTTAAACCGGATTCCAACAAACTGAATAAACAACGAACGGGAAGCTTTGATTGACAGATCCTGACATGGGAACTTGACTTAATACTTTTATTGGGATAATTTCAACCAACAACAAAGTTTCTGCGTTGAAATAGAATGCATTATGCATATTCTATGACGCCATACCTGATGACGCCATTGATACAGATTGAGGAGCACTCTTTCCATTTTCAGCTTAAGAATAGGGACATTGCTTTAAGCAAACTTATACAAAAAAACATGCGATTTGTCATTTCGCCAGTTAAACTCTTGTTCCCATAAAAAATTCCAATTTAATGCCACCAACATCGTTTTAAAACCTTTTCCGGAGTTGACATATCATCCCCTCTAGATTAGGAAGATAAGTAGTCTGTAGTGGGGTGAAGAGTCTTTCAATATTCCCATTCGAGTGCTTGATCCGCACTTTACTGAGCGATTCAGGCACTTAATGCCTTTGGTCTTAGATAAACAATTGTCGATATTTCTGGAAATAAGATGAGGTGTGTTGATAATAAATGGCTCCGTTGAAAATGTAATATAAATGGCATAGTTGGCTGTTATATTAAAAGAGAGAGAGAGAATTTATTTTTCATATTTTGTCAAAGCAGAAAACATGATAACGATACATATAATAATAAAACAACATACAAGGTGTACTAAGACTTGTTTGAAATAAAAAGCGTGAGGACGCCGCCAAAAAATTCCACTCAAGTCAAGTTTATTTTTTCTAACCAGTAAAAAACAATCAAATAAAAAATTTATAAAAGAGCGTGATAATCATATAATTTTACTGGAGAAGAGAAGTCGTGGGCAACCAAAGCTGGTTATTGAGCAGCGACACCCTAGGTTCTAATATCTTATTAAAAAGTTAGTTGTATTGTTGACAAGTTAAATGACCAATACCGCTAATAATACCGGCAATTTGTCTCGAAGTTTAAAAAAAATATGTTTTTAGGAATCAGTCTGAAGAGTCTATTATTCCACTATTAGTCTTACCACTTACTTTACCACGATATTCACCGTGTTTATGAAATATCATATAATAGACATTGTGTTTTGTATTTGTAGAATTTTGAAAAGCAATATTTCAATTTTTCATAGTAAGATGGCATTCCACCCACTACAACTTCGCTCCGAAGGAGACACTTGACTATAAACCACAGATACGTCAGAGTTATCTATTATCAATCCCATGACCACCATCTCGCGCAGGGTTTATTAAACTTTGTATTCAATGTTAAATAGGAAAGCTACCGACAGGGGTTCAGTCAGGGGGGGTTGAGAGTGAGTCGGAAGCCCTTTTTTGAACTGTAAAAAAAGCATTTTCCCATATAGCAATATTTCGTAGCCTGAAACGAGTTTTAGACCCCCAGGACTTCTAAAAACCTACGTTTTTTGTCCAGCAGTTCCCCATTCTTTTTGTTCGTGTGACGTCAAATTATCTTATTACCTTACGCAAAAATAGCTGCTGCTTTTAAATAAAACTCAATTTCGTGATCGTTAATGTGTACTTTATGTATTTTGAAATTTGTAAACATGTAGGCCTAAAGAATAAAAGCAATTTCAACTCTTTTTCTCATCTCTGCCTAATTTTTCCTTGAAAAAATCACTCATGTTCGGTTTAGGAGAGAAAAAAACTTCAGGTCGCGAGATTGCAGCAAGTAGTGTCTACCCATATTGTTGCGTACCAGTTAGTAGTCCTCAAAAAAGGTTGTTATATATCAGTATCTACTTGCCCGAAGCATTGTTCAGAGTGTGAGGCGTCATAGATAACATATGAGAGTTTGTCGTTTCAAAAGCATGTATACCAATATGGAGGTAACTAATTTTGTTTGCTTATTTTACATCAAGTCGTGTAAAGGGACTGAAACCTATGAGCAGGGGGTATATTCACTTGGCTAACACAGATAGTACCCAAACTCGTAATATAACTAAAATAAGGAAAATCGGATTAAAATTATGGCCTAACCCTAACCTGGTACACATACTACGACAATGCCGAAAATTCCCACCGTCCCCCCAGTCGCCCTTATCAGACAGAAACGATAAAATGATGACGGATTAGTCCAAATCGGTTGTTTTGTGCGGAAATCGACGCGAATATTTTCAAACTTTTCAAGGAAAATTAACGACTCTGGCGCCGAGTTTGACGGCGATAAATCGAAAAATATTTAAGAAATGATCTCGGTAAATAGTTAAAGTCTGGAAATGTGCAGTTTTTATTATTTGTTGAAAGTTTGTATTTACTTTCAGATTTGGGGAAGAAAAGTTTAATCACGTTTTTTTGTTTGTTAATTTTAAATCTGCTCTGCTTTGGGGTAGCTTTCGTATGACTCTAAACACAGTCATAAAGATAAGAAAAATGAACATTTTTTAGCGTCGTAACGTAGTATTTCAGGAACCCCTGCCGATTATCATCACTTCATATTCGACAACTTTGGAGATCATATTCATAAAAAATCGTATTAAAACCGCAATCATACCTCGGCCACTCTGATACAAATAATACTTGTTTTTTTAAAAAATAATAGCAGAAAGAGACAAACATCAACAGCTTGAAATAATCCAGCCACCTTTGACATTTGACCTTTACGCATCGTTGCAAAACTTAATGATTCTTAAGTTATGTAACATCATGAAGTTTGTCAAATATTTCACCCCTAAGGCTCAGGGGAAACCATGTCTATATTGGCGTGCAGGTTGATGTTCGATAATAATTGTCGTTTCCTGAAAGATAAGTTCAGTCATCCGAAACTAAATCTTGTTCTTCTATTGTAATTATCTAACGATTTTCAACATCACTGATATGTTGATAAGATGAGGAAATGAGATAAGATATATAAAATGTATATGTAATTCAAAATTAATTGTGTCCCATATATTTTACGAACAAAGCTCTATAGAAGCAGTCGTTATGTGTTTGAAATATCTAAAACGCTTATAAGTAAGTGTATTGATGGTGAGGGCGTAGTCAGAAAACATTTTCAATGATTCTGAAATTTCTAATTGACAAGTTAGACCGTAACAGCTAGCCGGACCGGAACCTTGGATTTTCTAGAGTTTTGAGGATCTAAAAACGTTTCAAGATACGAAAAATTGCTATGTATGATATAGAAAATAGCTTTTTTTTGCAATTTCAAATGTGGGGGTTCCGGCTGTCAAAACTCTTCTCCTTGGTACGCTACTGTTGATAATTGCTCTCTTGTAACTATTGGGTATCACATATAATTACATTTTTGCCACAACTGAATATTTTTACTAAAATGCATGTCCAAATATAAAAAGCACAAGAAACTATTTAATATCCTGCAACTGCTAGGAGTCGAACATTTTAGACAATAAGGCGCAACAAAAAAAAACACATTAGTTTTCTAGATAAGTTGAATTTCTGCCACAGCTGCGTAGCTGTTTAGTCCAAAAAAGCCCGAATGAGTAACTTTTTTGATAAATCACCTGGGGTTAACGATCCATCAAAACAAAGCTGATAGATTTGCGAGATTTGCATACTTTAGCTGTGAATGTTAAGCACAATTCGATGGATTGTTATTGCAATGCTTTAGTCATTCAAAATTGATGGATTTGAGAAAAATCGCTAGTTTCGAAGACAAATGT